TATAACATAACATAATAACACAATAAGATACCATTTGCATCCCGTAATATTTTATTGCCATAATAACCCAAGTATATTCTAAGCCCCCTGAGTAGTCTTAACCATTTAATTGAAGATACCAAGTGTATACAACCATATACATCACCACCCTCCAATATTAACTACAAGAGATAATGAGCTCTCTGTAACTGCAACGTCATCGGCGTACCCAGAGCCTTTTCTAAGCGCTTTAAGTTTAAATAAGGGCGAGAAAAATAACATAAAGAGAATAGGTAGGACAGGGGAGCCTTGCGGTAGCCCACAATTGCCTCCTTGGGAGGATATTCTTGCTCATCAACACGAATGAACACCTCGCAGTTTGGCGCAAGAAGGCCGACCTAGTCGCAAAGATAGTCAGGCAAGTAAATTATCTCGGGATCTACGCTGTGCTTGAGTCCGACTTTTAAAACTCTCACGTGATGCGGAGGCCCGGCTGCTTCGGGTCCCACGGCAAAGCGCGGGATGAGGAACGGTTTGAAGTTTGGTTGATTTATCGAGACGCAATAATTTAGCTCTCGGGACAGAGTTGCAAGATTTGTGTAAATATAGAATACGATTTTGACTCAAGACAGTTCGATTGTGGGGGAAAATGGGGCTCGCATGATTTTGCCTAGTTGTGGGCTTCAAGATAAATGTTATTCCGAGATATCATGCCATTCTTTTTTTAGATTTCCGTAACAATAGAGACCCCCTTTAATAGCAAGTGGGTGAGCTATAGTAGTTGACGCATGTATGGCTTGATTCTTGAAGTTTCTGATGTTCAATTGGAGGCGAATTAGATGATTGACATGAGTGGATAATTAGCAAGGATTACGATAGTGTTGTCAGAGCCCATCGTACCTATAGTTTCACGGCTATATCATTTATGGGTCGGTGGTATTAAGTTAGGCTTTTTGTTTGAATTCGAAGAGATTTGTCACCATATGGGTGCTTAGAGATGTCGGAAAGGCTCAAGGCGCCACAAAAAGACATGTCGATACCTCTGAACATGAGCGAGGGTTTCGATTCTCGTAATAGTCATGGCTGAGATGTTGTCACCTCTACACTACACATCCCAGAAAATTGATGAGCATCCGTACGAGTCTCTGTTGCGGCTAATTAGTGCTATTTTCCATGCCGGTCGTTTAACTTGATCAAGGCGATCCCTAGTGATTAGCTGCATTGAAGATACACAAGATGGCAGCGATCAAGACTTCTGATTCATGAGCCGGCAATAACCCGTTTTGACGTATTATCGACGGTATACCTTGTTTTACCATCATGCTGACTGGAATACGTAAATCTGCAACGTGAGCAATTTACATCATTCAAATTCATGCAAGTGACTGTCTTCGCTTCAGTAAGTCAGGCTAAGTTTTTAATCTCAAAGTAGAGGGTATGCGGGAGCAGCAAGGAGAATGCTCGGTAAACCGCTATCAATAGAGTACTCAAATTTCCGGCAGTCGGCCGGGCTGATTGCCATGTTCTACCTAGCAGAAGGCGCATGGATCATTCCAGAGCTTGAGCGTTGATCGGACTAGATGAGAGCAGAGAAGTCGGCATGGAACAAGATCGGCGCAGTTGTCGATGGCGAGGAAATCTTCTTGAGCACGATACTTTCGGTGGGCTTCTAATTGACCCGGGCCCCACTCTACTGCAGGTAGAGGGTGGAGAAGGGGCATGATAGGCGAGAGTCAGTGATGGCAACGTGACCGCGTGCTAGACTAGCCTGCATCAGGCGGGTCCATTATTTCTTTTGGTCACAGTGCTCGGTAATGTCTACAGACTTGTCTTATCCTTTTCCCATTCTAGTGTCTGACGCATGCCCATTCATTGCTTATTCCGAGCTGTCAACGCCATTAATGCCCTTACCGCTCTCTTCACATCCCGCCTCTAAATCACCTGGCGGCGTGATTCGACCAGAACTGCCAGATTACCCTTGTGATAGATGTGGGGAAAAAATAGGGATAGCTACCATTGATAGCGCAATACTTCTCCTTAGTAAATTCGAGCCAAAATTCGACTGATTACTTACCCCCAAAACTCTGCAGTGGAATTGATTTTGGTCTATCGCTTCCCTGAAAAGGCTCTCCGTCATGCGTCTAACCTCCAAGTCCAGCCGCGACTTGCGAGTATTATTCCCCTTAATCATACCATTGTTGGCGCGAAAATTTTATTGCCAACGGTTTCTTGTGGCGCACTCAGTTTATGCTCAAATATATATACAACACGAGACTAGTCGTCTATATTCTAAAGAAGCTTCATGAGGGGATATATATATATATATATATTTGAATTTGAATTTGAAATCTTTAACGTGACAGGACGAACCCAACATCTATTTAGACGTGACACGGGTAGATGGGCCCTACGAGCTCATTGCTACCTACATGACCGGCATTAAAGCCAGAAGCGACAAAAGAAAAATAAAATCACAGCAAATGTCTGAGTTACGGTGCCCTGCACCGTATCCCTATCTTCCAAACACCTCTCCTCTCGAGCCAGAAACTATCTCAGCATGGTCACTCCCACCCTGTCAGTTCTTCGGCAGACTGTAGCATCTGCTTATGGTTAGGAATTGGAAAAACTTCTGCCATCCCTTCTCCCCTATCATTTCCCTGACCCCAGGTGGAGTCATTTTCTCACAGCTTCTCCAACGTTGCAGAGCAGGTCGGCACTCTGAAAAATGCCAGGGCCTTTTCTCTCGGCCGCAAATGCACATCAGATCTTCATGTTCGGGGTTGAAACGCCGGTGGTAGTCGGCGTAGTCCCCGTGGCCTGTTCTTGCCGCAATAAGACGGTGATACGCCCATCGAGGCAGAGCCAGTTCCGGCGGTCGCTTGCAGCGCATGTAGAGGTCGAGATCTTTGTATCGTTTAGGCCGATACTTCTGCCACCACTCTTCCACAAGCTTTTGGCTCCGCATTTTCACTAGTCTCCCTAGAGCCGCAAAGGTCAGAATTTGCTCGTCTCCGTTGGGCGAAGCTGAGGTTAGTGATTGGTCATTGAGATCTCCCAGGGCTGATTTGGCCAGCTTATCGGCTTCTTCGTTGCCTTGGATCCCCACATGACCAGGTATCCAGTGTATTTCTACACGCCTATTATGTCTCAGCGATGAGAACTTGTCCACCACTGTCTGCGAGGAATTGGATCTTCCTTGTTCGAGCGCTCTGACGGCCGCTTGATTGTCCAGAAGAATGCTGACCGGAAAGCCTTCTCCCACCGCTAGTGCAGCCTCCAAGGCTTTCATAGCGCCTACAACTTCTGCGTCGAATACCTCTGCTCCGGGAAGCGGACCCGAGCCACTTCCAGCTAGTTTGCCTCCTTGGTATACCACATAACCCCAAGCTGATTGCCCGGGACCCGACGAGGATCCATCAGAGAAGGCACAGACTGCGTTGGCTGGAAGGGAAGTTAACCATCGTTTGATGCTTCCTGACCTAGCTTCTTTTTCCCGACTGCCTGGTGTCGATGCCGGGAGACCATGGGGAAAGTAGAGCTTTCCAGGGCCTTCCGCTGTCGGAACTTGACGCACGCTTATTTGTAGGCGTGTCATGTACCTTTCTGGCTGTCTGAACAAGCGATCTCGTTGTCCCGATCTAAGACCTAGGCGTTTTATAGTATCTTTCGGGTCCTCCGCCGCCCGAAGGGCTAGAGGGTGCCAGGCATCCATTCTTCGCATTCGAGCTGCAGACCGCAACATCTTTTGTTGGAGAATTATTGATGCCGGGGGAATTCCCGCTTCACGATGAAGAGCGCTATTGGGAGTGGTACGCCACGCTGGGAGTGCTACTCGTATAGCTTTCGTGATAGTTTTGTCCAGCAGAGATGTGTGCCACCCTACTCCAGTGCCGACTTCTTTATCTCGGATGGGATATATATATATATATATATATATATAGTTCATTTTACCTGATTTGGCGCCTTGAGGCCCATGCAGGTTTTTATCGGAAGATATGTACTTTAAGTAGGATGACTCAATTTGACGATTAGAACACTCACACACAGATTTCATTTGCAGATACCACTCAAGGTTAACCCTTACGGCGTGTAACCTCTTCCGTGCACACCCACCACAGGGAAAAGCGTGAAAAACCTGTGACTATCCGGATGTGATTTCATCATCCCATAAGTACAATACCACCGCGAGAGAGAGTGGTGTGTGGGTCTGACTGGATTCGAACCAGCTTTCTCCTGTCTCGAATGGGGTAGGTGTTCAAGCTACCCAGTATCTACTTGGGAGAACGGCCCGGACGGTGTACCACTGCACCATCCAACCCTTCATTGGGGGATAAAGGCTGCAAGTAAGCACCCCTACCGAGGTATTCGTATTCTTGGCATCTAGGAGACATAGATCGAGTCAAATTTACTAATCTTCATGGTATTTAGAGAGTAAAATTTGAAAATGGAAATCAGGGGGAGCCCACTGCGACAATGCATAGGTATGACTGGCCTTCCAGTACTGTATCCTTTGGGAACAGCTACAAATGCAGGGGATACCTATCAAAACATCATCACTCAGAAAAACTACTACAGCATATGAAGTCCTAGTGAGATATAAATAATTGTGATTTGGGGACACAGTATACTGTGCCTCAGTATAAATTCTTTAGTATTAATCCGAGCTATTCAAAAAATGATCATTTAATTGCAAATGAGGTTGTGCCCAACAAAATTCAGGTTAAAGTATTCTGCTAGATGGGGCTTCTCTAACATGACAAGATGTAACAATACAAAATAGAGTGCCAGTTGGCAAAATGTGAAATGAAATCCTCAAGATCTCACGCCGTGATCTATCAAATTCGACCTGATACCAGTTGAGCTCATATTTATGGAGTGAGCTAAGGCGTTGGATGTGATTGTAACCCTCGTAGACTGGACGCTAGCGATAATATTTGCTTTAAGATATCAAATAGAAACAGTTGAGGGTTGGTTGGATATTAGAAGGAGAGATTGTTATTCCTGCGACAAAGGCTCTATGCCTATGAAATGAAGACGCGGGTAAATCTCTTTTGCTTACCGTTTTTGCCATCCTTACCATCCTTACCATCCTTACCATCTTCAGCCTTTTTATCTTGTCCCTGATCCTTCTTTTTATCTTGTCCAGCGGCTTTGTTGTCTTGTCCAGCAGCTTTATCTTGTCCAGCAGCTTTGTTATCCTTAGCTTGACCACCACCTCCAGCTCCGCCTGCGCCCTGCTTTACTTCAAACTTTGTGCAATCATCTTGAGCACCTCGTTGCGCGACGGGCATAAGTAAAGGCTGATGGTTAGATGCAGATCCCAAAGTACAGATACGGTAGAAGCCAGCCGGTAAGCCACCAGTGACGGTGGCGGCAAGGTTACCAGCTCCATCTCCATTATTGTTGATACCCTTGAAGAAAGCAAACGTGGATGGGTCAGGTGGTTGGGTGGGGTTCATGTCCTTGCCCAGTGTTTGCACAGTAACGTGAGTATGACCAACTACCTGCCCATTCTTGAGTTGTTGCGGCGCAGCATAATAAGTCTTGTCAGGATTGGTGAAAGAGCCGGCAACCAAGTTGGAGGTCTTGACTTTAATGTCAAAAGTCTTTTGTGCCTCTACAGCCTTGTCGGCGGTGGGAAAAGTGATGATGGTGGAGACCATTTTGGCCTTAGCCGGGATTTCCCCCATAGCTGGTTCGATGTTAGCGGATTTCTTGTGCGCGGGCTGTTTATGCTATCTACGACCACCTTGTAGTATAGTGCATGTATAGGGCCTAGGAGAAAATAAGAATTTCTTTACTTACGAATACCATTGCAGGAGCCTGCTTGCACCTGGAGCCCGTTGGTCAAGGTTTTGCCGGCGCAAAAGTTTATGAAATTCTCCTTGGAAGTTAGGGATTCTGCCTGTTCTTTGTTGGCGCCTCCTTCCTGCCCTGTCTTGGTGGATGCTTGCTGCACAACACCATCTTTGAGCGTCTGCGACGCAGCACTAGCAATCAGCGCTGCTGAAGCGAATGAAAATAATAACTGCATGTTTCGTTATTGATAAATGAACAAAGAGATAAATGAGATAGGCGTAAGTGGGATTCACGATCGACGTGATCTGAAAGAAAGAATGTTAGATTGAAAGATTGAAAGATTGACAAAGTGAAAGAACGGATGTTTGCTTGAGGTATATTCCAAGTATATTGAGGAAGGAAGGCTGCTACTTATCTGAAGAGAGAGCCATAATTTGGCCGAGCGACTGCAAGAGTACATCTCTCAGGATAAGGTGTCGTCCTCTGGCCTCTGCAGATTCAGAGAGCCCATGAAACGTGAGGTGGATGAGGAATGACTTGTGTACAGACAGCCGAGGCAATGCCAGTGCTTTCTTCGCACGCAACGTGAATCATTCTCTCTTTGTCTCAGGCCAGGGTTTACTTTTCCAGACCATGGATTCCTGGACGGTAAAATAATAGCCTCTGTAATTCGCATCATCGCTCACTGCTGGTACATAGCGACGACCACGCTACATCCCTTAGTTGACATTTTTCCCATCACAATTTCGTCGAACACAAGGGATTTTAGCTCAACGCGCACTTCAATCTCAATCTATGTCGACATGAGTCTTGATCGTCTTAACTTTTTGCCATTCAAACAAGATAAGAGAATCGAATCTAAGTTCAAGGAGAGAGTTCCACTCGCCGAATGTCTTGTTTATCATCTCTCAAACAAACGCTCCTGTAAGAGGAATTTTTCATCCAAAGTTTTTGCGCATGAATAGTTCCACACATGTTGGCCTTCATCAACTACCTTGACTAGCGTGCCGCATGGGAGGCAGCTTGAACCAGAGCTCCTTTCAACTAGTTACTGTTTTCCTATTAGGGTAAGGATAAGAATTTTCGCCATCTCCATCTAGCGTATACTTATTCTAAGCTGGTTTCTGGGAGGATTCATAGGTATATCCCGAAAATAGAGGATTTAGGTCGCAGCGATGCAAAGATGTAGCAATATAGGCTTTGATCGGCTGCCAAAAGTTACCTTTGTGAGTGACTCTTTTAATGTCATTCAGCGTATACAGAAAAGCAAGGACTGATCAGTCTGTACAAATAATCATGGATATCTTCAATCTCTACGCAATCCATGCTCCTCTACTATAATGGGTTGGATCCAAGAGAATCGTTACATGGTGAAATCTCATTGGAAAATCCCGAAAAATACCAGAAATTTAAAATATGGACGCATTTGGGAAATGTTATGAGGCAGGAACAGTTATCTTCAGCCCTCAGTATACCCCGAGATGTTTTTAAATCCCTGTCTGCAGGCATATCTCAGCGGAGGTATAAACATAATTAGGACTTTTTAACTTATTATTACAGCGACAACATTACCCAATTCTACTTTTAATTTTGGTTGTTTCTTTCACTTTCTTTTCAAGGGACCATTACCGGGTTTAGGCCTAGAAAGATGAATAATATAGTTTCAACTTAGGTTTTGACAAGACTGAACTTAATACTGACACGGGACATTCAACAGTAATGGCGAGGCGTTCATAGAAAAAATAAGGCAGAGACGAAGAGTGATTGGCCTCATTTTTCCTATACTAGCTTTTTGGCATATCCTTCATATGACCTTATTCTGCACTTGTTCTATCGCTCTATGAAGCCTTTTCACTTGGCGAGGAATTCTTCATTTCAGAGAGCCTTCTCAACCTCTTTTCATTGCGACAGTGGTCCAGCACATTGAATGTCACCAGGATCTGAGCCGTTCCTACCAACGAGGATTGCCAAACCTCTTGAGGTCTGAATCATAATCTCCATCTGTTCGGAAGTCATTCTTTCCTTGTCGTGATAGAGGAGTTGTAGGTGAGACAAAACTTGAGCCACCCAACTCCTTAGCTACCATATTGACTACTACTATCGGCATAAGAGGGCTCAATTAATCCACTCCCTAGATGGATATAATCACAATAGAACGCTTAAGTCTCACAGTCTCTTATTCTTCAGATTATCGAGGTTAGGATTCGCTTTGCAGTTATTTTTCGCTTTTTCTGTCACAGAAAACCGACTATGGTCGAGACTTGTTTCGACAGTCCCATCGCCACCCCTACCCCTAGACGAACCCTGATGATGATATTTTCTTCGAACACAATAAAGAGCGATTTAAACTCATGTTTTTAGTTATCGAATGGTAGCTCCTAAAGGTTTCGTCTAAGTTCCGTCGACTGCTCTGTCTCAGAGAAGGAGAGATGTATGTTCTTTCCGGAGAAAGGCTTCATGGTCTCTGACTAGAAAGTGCACTGTCAAAGTTAAGCTCTAGAGAGAATTTAAAGTGTAATTTCAGGATGAAATACCCAAGCATAGGTTGGATAAAGAATAAAGCAGGCACGTGCATTAGTATTTCAGATATTTTTGACAGGTGCAATTAGGTACAAAAGAGGAATTATTCTCGCTTGAATACTAGGCCTATTGTTTCTGATGGTAGTCGGGCTCTAAGCTCAAAACTCAAAATTCATTCCGCCTCCTAGGTTAGCGAAACAAATGAGGATCATAGCACATTTGCCCGACTCAGTGCAACCATGTAAACCATTTTAGCAATATATCCATCCACAAGAAGAGGTAGACAAGTGGAAATTTTTGAATCAAGCGGTTTTGGCACTTCCAGCGCTCTAAGATTTTCTGCCCCACCTCGTATGGTAGTACTTGAATAAGCTCGCTGCTGCTTAAAGGTAGGTCACATGTAAAATATGCGCCCCATATTCTAGTGCCATTGTATGGCTGTTTCTCCATGGTACCCGTCGTAACTGCTATATTCATATTAGATACACACCAGGTAACCCGAGTATGACCTTTAATTTCTCCTCTCGCGCGCCTTCCATGAACAACTTTCAAGTCCATCTATAATCACACTTTCCATCTAACTATCCATTCCCCTACGTTACAATTAAAACTTTCCTGATGAGTTCTACACAGATATACCATGACTCAGAGCTTCGTTAAAATTTCTAATCTTAGAGTCGCTTGTCTTGACACTCTTGAGGAAGTTAGGTGTATGGCCCGAGGCTGACATAGTTTTGTATCTGGAGACAGCCTCCATGTTGAGCTCTTTCACAGATAATTAAGCCAGAATTCTCTTGCAAACGAGGAGAGGCTCTACGGGACATGTTATGAGAACTTTTTCTGTGGCTGACTACGATCATTGATTCTGCGAGAGCACAAGAGACCAAGCAGCCTGCAGTATGGAGATAATTATTATGAAGCCCAACGTGCATATTTGCATGCGGGAGATGGGTAAGAAGGGGTTCACCATAGTTGTGCCTGTAAGACGCGGGTGGTCTGACCTTGATTGTCGCGCCGTGGGATCTCTTAAGTTGAGGCTCGGGCCTCACCGGCATATCTCACCTTCTTTAATCGTTGAAATCACAGCTGCAAGAATCATCCTCGTTTTTAGTGAGACTAGATTATGGTGGAGAGCAGATTCAATGCCCTGCTGGACGAAAGTCAGCAGATCGTGAGCGATTCTGAAGCCTTGGAATGGCCACGCCCTACAAGGCTAAGCCTAGCATCCGGCCCCGGTCGACCCTTCCCCCTCCACGATTGGTCCATTCAGCTCCAACCATGACACGAACGTGTTTTATCCACATTTGGACTGACACTGCACATTTGGCAGCGCCCAGACACTAACTTTGAACCCTATCCACTATATCTTCATATGGATCCTACATGACAGTAGACCCCAGCTCATGAGTTTAGGGGTTTTTTTTTTTTTTTTTTTTGCATCAGATTTTAATTGCGTATGCAGCTATCTAGCTATGACACAATATCAAAGAAAAGTATAGAATAGATGATTCAACGTAAAGGAAGAGCACTCATGCCTCGGATTTCATTTGCAAGTACCACTGCGAAGTTATGGCGGCTTTTTCTTCACCCCAAGTCAACCCTCATCCGTGAATACCCACCCAGGGGAACATCTCAAAAACCCTGAGTTATCCAGACATGCCTCCGTCATCCATCAACTTTTCTCCGCGCGAAATGTAATCTGAGATGTCTCCTTCCCAAGTGGAGTAGGTGCTCAGGCTACTCAAACTATACCAGAGAACATCACCAGGAGGCGGATCACAACACCTTCCATCGTCCGCTTGTTTTTATAGTGTCAGCTGCACTCTCGCAAGCGAAGTCTTGGCGCGCACAAAGCCCAATTCGAAAAACTCCTTGCCAAAATTCGGAATCTCACGCCCTTCGAGGTTATATCCTACCTCCGCATCATCTTATAAACTTGTCCTGATCCCTCTCACGTCCATCCCAAAGAACTGTCTCCCAGATTTGTGCGCCACGCTTTGCTTCCTCCGTCGGGTATAAATATCGGCGTGGGCGTGTATTTGGTGACCAGCTGAGGCCAGAGAAGGTCGAAGAGTGGTGTGGTCATTGGAATGAGGATGTACTTGGTCGTACTTGTAGACTCGATGAGACAAAGATAGGAGTCAAACTCGTTGGGAGCGAATTAACGACGTGGAGGAGTAATTTGGATTTTTGCCTCGTGGGCCAACTTCTTTGATATTGCGAAATTTGACTGAACTTGGCTCTAGGAGAATATTTCACTCCCAGGTTCGTAGAGGACACCGCGTACAGGTGTTCAGTCTTGCCCTCCGAGTTTAGGGTTAAAGAAGGTGTAACCCTTTGTTTTTACAGGCATGATGGGCTTATTTACTCAACTTTGCGCCGCTCGGGCCTCCCATTCTCAGGCACTGCCCAAGATGCCAGCCTGTCTGTTGAACTACGGTGCCACGCAGCCCCACGAAACGCCGACAACCTAGAAACCATCACTTAGTTGGCAGTTTGATGTCTTTTCCCAGAAGTCACAGCGGCTCCGTTCCTATCAAGTATTTACAGCTTGGGCAGTTAGATCCTGAGCAAAGTAAGCAGACTCTATCAAACTGAGACGTCCACTCGGTGGATGTTACGTGCTAATTTCATCCCATTCGAATCACCGACCAGTTAGGTAATCCATCAGAGGGAATGCTGCAAGACCCAAGTATACATCATAGTATGTCGGTG